AGTAGGGGGCGTGCAGGGGGCGGCTAATCGATGTTTCTCGCTCATTGATGTTTCTGGCTCTCTATCCCTCTCCCTTCCTCTCTGTAAAAAAATCAATAAAATATATATAAAAAAATCACCACACATACATAAAAACAACTTATTTCGGAAGATTACTTAGAATAGATTCGACGCTCCTTAAAATTTCTTTGATGAGGTCTTAATCGTTCATACATTCATTCATTTACTATCCACCTTAAGACGCCAGGTGGCCCCTACCACTATCAACGAACTAAAATGTAAGGGGCTTTAAGCACAGAATGGAAGTCCTTATAAGAGGGTGGAAGTGGACTCAAGTATCTATAACCTCGGCACAATATGTTCTAAAATAGGAGATTAAAAGTAGTATGGGACCGTTGCTAAGCGCCCTCGCTTCTAGAAAACAACTGAAGCGAGAAAATCAATGAAAGGAGAAACGCATAGAAGCTGAACGCTAGTTTAACTTCCTTAACCACATCGTGGAAAGGCTGCTAAACCGCGGGAGAAGGGGAACATCATTTTACCCACGAGTCCATCAGCTTGGCCGCCCCACAAGAAAGGCAGGTAGAGCTGTACCCCTGACCTATTACCGGTTCCCAAAGCGATTCAAGAGGTGCAGGGGGCGTTCCTCGCTGCTCCCTGCCTCTTTCTGTCCCTCCCTGATGCTTGGCAACACCTAATTCCTCTTACCGAATACCGAACGTAGAGAACGATCTACCGCTGGATCTCTCACATTCATACCCGCCATAGCTCTCTTCCCGTGGCTTCCGGTTGCCCGGGCACACTTCGGTACTGCGCATGAGCCTAACGACCAACACGCTTCCGTACAGCGCGTGAACCGGAAACGCCTGAGCCGGGCTGACGCAAGGCACCTTCTCTGGCGTCATTGCGTCACGGGAGGCGTGTCTTACGTGTTCCTTAGCGTAAACTCTTGGTCTGGGCTGCAGCCCGAGAATAACTCCCTTCTAAGCCGGATTCTTGGCGTTTCCGGGAGAATAGAATCTTTTTTTTTTAGGCTAATACAAGTAATTGTTGACCACAATAATGATTGCAGCAGCGGCGTTACCAAGGTAACAGGGAAGTCATTTCCTAACAAGGGTGGCACTTTGGTTTTAATTACGCCCTCTTAAGGGAGGGAAGTGCTTGGCCCCGCCCCAGGGCGTGCAAAAAATTGTCTTGTAAAAGCTGTGAGTGTATGGAGGAAGGGAGAGTGGAGGCAGCCTAGAAGAATGAGAGAATGAGGGGCATTCAACGTCAGAGCATTAACACATAGCTGGGGAGGTAAAGGGAGAACAGACCCCTGTTTACTCTTGTCTAGCCCTTGGGCTCTGTGTGCTTGATGGTGGTGTTGGGGCGGAGTGGCTGAAAGCATTAGAACAGGAAACATCATTGACTGGTGGTACGCAGCAAGCAGCTAAGGCATGATTTGAACTAGGGTTGCTTTGACTCCAGAGACCGAATGCTTACTGCCTCCCACTATTACTGAGAAAATATGGGTGGTTTAACATATTACCATTTTGAGGGAAAAGAAGAGTATGTGACCTGGTGATGGTGGATCAGTGACTCACAATAATGAACCACCCAAGAATAGGTTGAGGCACTTAGCCAGGGATTGTTCCATTGCAGTTACTCTGTGGAGAATGGACTGTTGGTTCTATCATTTCATCAACCATCCCTACTCTACTGTTATAAAAGAGGAGGTGGGTGCAAGGTATATTTCCTAAACTTTTGCTTTTTTATAGAGTTTCACTTATAGGCCATGTGCTAATGACCTCAGTGTCTGTTGTCCAGGTGAGTCTTTTTCCATTTACTGCGACACTTCCAGAGTGACATATTTCTTTTGCCTCCCAGTTATAGCAAAATGAAGACAAGATGGGATGACACTGTTGTAGGTTTTATGACTGAGCCTCGGTTAACACAACGATGTAGGTGCACAATGAAGAGGTGGGGGTGGGACTAGGAAAGGTGCATTTCTACACAAATGGGGCTAAATATATGGGATAGGTGTTATTTGGGACCTTTAAGCAGAAGAGAAAAGGCACATAGTAGAGAATCAAAGAATTTGGGAAACCACAGTCAAGATTTGTGGATCATTGGCAGAAAGTTTTGTGGAAAAGTTCTGAGTTTGTATCCAATTGTGTTGATGATGCTAAGAAGCAGACATTCAAGAGTGTGAGGGCACAGAGACTTAGGTTCTTTTTCCTGGCCATAGAAGGTCAGACTTCTAAGACTGGGGTCAGTACTACTTCGTTCTTGACCCACATTTAAAGCTCCTCAAAGAATCAATGGAATGAAATCCCTCATTGATCCTCCAGGGAATACCTGGAAAGGCAGCAACTCCTGGACAGGCATTATTGCATGAAAAAGATCCCAGAAGGCACTGTAGCATTACCAGTGTTAGGAGAAATACTCAGTGAGCAGTGCCTAAGGAAACTTGGGGCCCCCAGAGAACACCTGAATGTTTACAGAGATCTGGTCAGTATCTGGATGAAACAATTGGCTTGCTGTCCAGAAAGAAACAACATTCCTAAGTTTGATACTACTGTGTTATCACACTAGTACTGTACTTTCTGGTAATATTTAAGGGTTCAGCTCTGAAGCTACTCTACAGAGAGTTGTCCAATCCATCAAAACTGGTCATTCTGGTTTTCGATTTTAGCATTTTTGTTTTTTATTTCTTGCCTAACTACTTTTCTTCTCAGTTCATACTCAGTGAATACATTTCCTGTATTCCTTACCCAGAAGGTTTGGGATTCTTCACCAGCTCAAAGGCTGCCTTATGAGATATGTTGCTTGGGAGCAGGGCAAGGACTTAGGTGGTCAACTTAATTGGAGGAAGATTTCCCGTGTTCTTGGCAATGGCACGGTGACCTCTTGTTGCTGATGAGGACTGCTACCAAGCCAAGCACTGGGGAAAATTAAGGAAAGGAAGTCTGATTTTTATCCTTAGAACCCACCAGGCTTGCCTGTCTAAAACCTTTGTTTATTTGGGGGCATGTTCTGTTTCAGAACCAGAACTCTGAGAGGCTATTGCTTTGGCATGTGCAATCTAGGGCTCAGCAAAATGAAGGTGGATATCACTGGACAGCAGTTAAACTCCAAAAGTGTGCTGCTGGGCTGGATAGTGAATGAGGATAATGGTATCAGGTTGGGGTAAACAGGATGACAATGATTAAAAAGCTAATATTTGTGAAGGGCCAAATAGATTACAAAGCTTTTCTATATAGATCTTATTTGACTCTAACAATTCCTGGGAGATAGCTTTAGTACGGTATTTTTTTTTTATTCTGGTAAAATATCCATAAAATAAAATTGACCATTTTAACACTTTTAAGTGTATAATATAGCAATTAATTATATTCACATTGTGCAACCATCATCACTATCCATCTCCAGAAATTGTTATTTTTCCAAACTGAAATTCCATACATATTAAATACTAATTCCCCATTTTTCCCTATACCCATCCCCTGGTAATCACCATTCTATTTTCTGTCTGTTATGAACTTAACTACTCTAGATACCTCATATAAGTGGAATCATAACACTATTTTTCCTCTTGTAACTGGTTTATTTCACTTTAGCATAATATCTTCAAGGTTCATCCATGTTGTAGCATGTGTCAGAATTGTCTTCCTTTTTAAGGTTGAATAATAAATATACCATTGTGTGTATATACCATATTTTGTTTATTCACCCATTGAGGGGCACTTGGGTTGCTTCTACCTTTTGGCTATTGTGAATAATGCTGCTATGAACGTGGCTGTAAAAATATTGATTTGAGTCCCTGCTTTCAGTTCTTTTGGATATATACCAAGAAGTGGAATTGCTATATCACATGGCAATTCTATATTTAATTTTTTGAGGAACCACCATACCATTCATGATAGTTACAGCACCATTTTTCATTCCTATCAGTGATGCCAAGGGTTCTCACTCATTTCATCCTCACCATCATTTGTTATTTTCTGTGTTGTTGTTTTTTAATAATAGCCACCCTAAATGGGTGTGAAGTGGTATTTCATTTGGCTTTGATTGGAAAAAATCTACCATTCCCCTCTCCTGTGTCTCCTTTACTTTCACACAGAACACTTCACTTCTGACAATTCTGGTGACCAAATGTGGGTTGTTTTCCCCACAAAAAGCATTTCTCTGCAACACCAAATGGCTGTCCTATAATTCAGTTCTGGTACTATCTAGTGTCAGATCCCACAGGTTAAGTGCTCAGTCTTACAAGACTGCCCCCATTTCTCTTCAGATGCCAGTCCCAAATCCAGGTTGTCACCTGTGCTTCTGATCAATTGATTATAAATCAGTTTCCAATGACCCTCTCCTCAGGTTCAATTAATTTGCTAGAGTGGCTCACAAAATTCAGGAAAACAGTTACTTACATTTACCAGTTTATAAAGTACTAGTGGCCCAGTGCATGAAATTCATGCACATTAAAAGGGAATTAATTAGAGGAAATATTTTAATATTGCTATTTGCCCTTTCTCTATAATAGAAGTGTCAGAGATGAAAGAAAAGTAGTAAAATGTATATGAAAATCT